AAGGGTCAAATGGCTCAAATTACTCCGATCACTTAACAGGCATATATCTTCTCCAAAAGCTGACTCTACATCGTGGTGCCCCGCCCTTACACCTACGTGCCTAGAAGAATCCTGTTAGCAGTCATTACACCATCCGCCGTAAAATCCGGAAACAGGACAAGGTATTTGTTAATGTTAGTATACACTAGCGATTCCTCAAATACCCTTTGCGACAGAAAGATGATGCTGAATGCAATTATGTATTTCTTCTCCCACTCGTTTAGAGAAGCAAAATTTTCAACGTTTAAGCTGAATACCACTGAAGGACAGTTTCCGGCATTTTATACACATTTGCATTAACACCGTTTAATTGGCAGGGCAATGATTTGCTAGTAAAATTGGGGTTCACAATTTGATTATTTGTTCCACACTCACATTTAGGAGAATCTTGGAATTTTCATCCTGTAAATTACATGTACGTCCGACGTCTCCTATTCCAATACAACTACTTAATAGAAAATCGTACATTCGCTTAAGGTTTAAAAATTAAGCCAAATTACAGCCCTGTACTTGTCTCTTGTCTGGAATCGCTGTTATACAAGATTCGTCGGCTTTCATCTGAGGTAGGCATGTCCCAGTTTAGGCAAAGCACTTGTCAACGGTTGCCTGATTTCTGTCGAAACTGTTTGAAGGATCCCTTCCAAAGGCTGCAAAACGGTGCAGGTAGATTCACCTAAATTCCTTTAAGATAGCGGATTGTGGTTCGAATCTGCGAAAAAAGGATGCTCGATAAGACGTGAAGCCCTAACGCTCGGGGAAGGGGAACTTCGCCATCCTTGTAATCATCGCGTCATAAAGTTCAGCTAGAAATGCTCAACGTCGGTGTGTGCACTTCCTGACCATACTGGATACACTATTCTCCGATAGAAAAGGCGAGCGAAATCGAAAATATGAGGGACGCGGTCTTTTGCACCTAAAGTGATGCCAACGAATATCTGGACGCTGTTGGTATGCGATTTTTTTTATGGCGTCACTATACATAGGGCGTTACTTGAAGGTGACAGTCCGGCAAAATGCGATATCGAAATGTTCAGGACACTGTTCGTGCTTCCCACATGCACCGCAGGTGTAAACTCTATGGAATAGATGACCTTCTTAACTAATTCCCGAGGAATGAGGAAGGGTGCAATTCATAAGGATTGCAGATTTGATGGAAGCTACGTTTAGTATGAGTCAGTAAATTCAAGCAGAAGAGTCACAGGAACCTGGAGGAAGCGTTGAATGATGTCACTGTGATAGGTTAAAATTTGAAAGTGAGGATTAGATAACACTTATTTGCAGTCTATCAAGGGAATGCTGAAAACTGTGATATCGCACAACACTTCTTTAGCCAGATGAGTGTGTCTAAATTGACAAGGACCAGTCAAGGACTAATATTTTAATAAAGGATCCCCACGCAATTTGGCGATAAAAAGTCCTTCTCTGTTGTTATATTTAAACAAGGGGTGCTATCACGAAAGTGATAAGATCTAAAGCCACCTAATGAATGGTTGACACTAAACTCTAAGATGCACAGTTATAAATATAATTGCTAAGACCTGGTGTTAATCCTTCACTCACTTTCAATTGAGGTACTTCGATTATATTAGACAGCTAGCTGTCTGATAATCAGTTG